AAGCAAAATTAGGAATGCTTCTGTTCTCAAAACATCAGGATATTAGGACACTCTCAAGTCTGGGTCTGTTTAGTAAACATCTAGAGGCTAGGAATACCTAATTTTCTGGAAATGCAGCCCAGCATGTCCAAGCCTCATTTTCCTATCCCTCACCAAAGATGGAGTTGCCCTGGTTCAAACACCCATGACAGTTTTAGTTACTTGTGGTTAACTGCGGTCTGAAAATAGGTGAGCATAGTACAATTAGATATTTTGAGAGACCACATCCACATAACTTTTATTACAGCATATTGTTGTAATTGCTCTATCTTACTATTAGTTATTGCTGTTAATCTTTTACTGTGCCTAATTTATAAAGAAAACCTTATCAGGCAGAGAGGGCAGAGCGGCTGCTGGGTCACTGGAATATTGCTATTCTGTTGCTTCCTTCTCAGTCAGTCATTCTGAGGCCCCAGCTTCTGTGATTTCTCGGTGAGCTCAGTTTCTGCCTCTCCGGTTTTCTCTCTGTGTGCCTCAAGTTAAATCTCTTCCGGAACCACGCTCTGATGAGCTTGCCTGGTCACGGTCTAACTCAGAGTTCTCCTGCCAGACCTCCTCCAGTGCGGCTGATGTGACCTGTATGTTTTGACTTTGGTGACTGGGCTAATTCCTGGGCCAGTCTTTTGTGGCCAAGTCTACTAGCAGAGCCAAGGTTACTCATAGAAAGAATTACCTCCGGCCACATATGGATTACTCTCTGGCACAGACTCTTTTTATCAAAACTATACTTGGAGGTAATATTCTCACCTTTTCAGACTCTTCCATCCTTTCCCCTTTCCTACTCCACAAAGATAGCAAGTTTTTCACTGTTGCCCAGGCAGGAGTGCAGTGGTGTGATCCCAACTCACTGCAACCTTGAACTCCTTTGCTCAAGCAGTCCTCTAGCCTCAGCTTCCTGAGTAGAGTTGGGACTACAGATACATGCCACCATGCCCAGCTATAGATACCAAGTTGATGAAACAAATAGATCATCCAATTTCATACCCCTTCACACCCAACCCAAGTGTAAAATTTTCATTTTGGTGGAATCCTTAGGTCTCAGTTACCTGACCTGCTGTTGGAGGCTGTAGCATCATAGTGGGGAGGTCTAGACCCAGGACAATGGCTCATATCCTAAAGGTGAACTATAACTTCTGTTGCCCTGTAGGCAAGAACCCTGGGTCTCACATGGTTCAAGGTATCAGAAATAAGCAGGATCTGAGATCTGTATTATCCTGTGGCTGACTGTCATCCCTGTATGAAGATACGTTCTTCTCCCTTCTTTTTCTTTTTCTATTTATTTATTTATTTTTGAGACGGAGTTTCGCTCTTGTTACCCAGGCTGGAGTGCAATGGCGCGATCTCGGCTCACCGCAATCTCCGCCTCCTGGGTTCAGGCAATTCTCCTGCCTCAACCTCCTGAGTCGCTGGGATTACAGGCACGTGCCACCATGCTCAGCTAATTTTTTGTATTTTTAGTAGAGATGGGGTTTCACCATGTTGACCAGGATGGTCTCGATCTCTTGACCTCGTGATCCGCCCGCCTCGGCCTCCCACAGTGCTGGGATTACAGGCTTGAGCCACCGCGCCAGGCCTATTTATTTATTTATTTATTTATTTATTGGAGATGGAGTCTCGCTCTGTCTCTCAGGCTGGAGTGCAGTGGTGCGATCTCTGCTCACTGCAACCTCTGCCTCCTGGGTTCCAGCGATTCTCCTGCCTCAGCCTCCCGAGTAGCTGGGACTACGGGTGCATGCTACCACGCCTGGCTAATTTTTGTATTTCTGTAGTGACAGGGTTTCACTGTGTTGGCCAAGCTGGTCTTGAACTCCTGACCTCAGGTGATCCACCTGCCTTGGCCTCCCAAATTGGTGAGATTACAGGCGTGAGCCATCGAACCTAGCCTTTTCCCTTCTTTTCATCCCTGAAACCTAAGGTAGTAACAAGCATACCTTTCCTTACCCTCTTTTATCATCAGCACCTTGCAGAGCCTACTCCAGGAAACTTAAGGGTGGTAGGAAAGCTACCAGCAGCAGCTCTCTCTCCACACAATAACACAGGGGTAGAGCCCTAGGAAGATGAGTTGTGCCTCCCTAGTACCAGATCCACAGCTGTGCTGGGAGTTCTTGGTCATGTGCAGCTGGTGTTGGTGCTTGGAAGAACCAGCAGGACATTTCTGATTTTAGGTGGAGTACTACTCCTGGGGACTAAAACTTAGAAGAATGTTTGCAAGTTTACAGAGTGATATCATAGCTTGTCTTTGAGAAACACAAATTCATTGATGATAGTATGAAATAATGCAATAGCAGCCAAAACATGTTACGCTACTTTCCAGCAACACAAATTTTTGAAATGGCATTGCATTCTTTTTTAATAAAGATAATTCTTTTTTTTTTTTTTGAGAAGGAGTTTCGCTCTTGTTGCCCAGGCTGGAGTGCAATGGCACCATCTCAGCTCCCTGCAACCTCTACTTCCCAAGTTCAAGCGATTCTCCTTGAGAAGAATCCAAGTAGCTGGGATTGCAGGTGTGCACCACCACGCCTGGCTAGTTTTTGTATTTTTAGTAGAGACAGGGTTTCACCATGTTGGCCAGGCTGATCTCAAACTCCTGACCTCAAGTGATTTACCTGCCTTGGCTTCCCAAAGTGCTGGGATTTCGGGCATGAGCCACTGTGCCTGGCTGGGTCATTTTTAATGTCCTTAAAGTTCTTTTGTTATCTTCACATAGATCTGGCATGTTTCTCAAAATGTTATAATCATGTGTTTGTGTGTGTGTATTTATATCTATATGTATAATTTATTTCTTTTTGGCTGCTATGATGAATGGGAATTTTTTCCCCCTTTTTAGACTTTAATTTGTTTTGTAAAGGTTTTGTCTTAGTGGAGGTTCTTATTGTAGCAATTTACAGAAATACATTCAGATTAATTTAGGCCTAAAAAAAAAGCCGGGGAGAATTATTTGGAAGGCAGCCAAGGCCTCCCCTGCAGGTCAAGGGTAGAAAGGAGAGTGGGCCTCACAAGGGGGAGGGAAGCAAGAATTACTGAGCCTCCTGTTGGGGCTTTCCCTTAGTAGATCTATTTTTCTCTCCCTCTGTAGTTCGGCTTTCTTTGCTTCTCCCTTTTTCCCATTTCCATGTTTCTGAGAAGCAAAGGGATATAGAGCAAACCTGGCTACAGGGGCTACCCATATGGGTGGAGCAATCCTCAGAAAATAACTGTGGGTGGAAACTGCAATGTCAGGGACTTCAAAAGAAGAGTTGGCAGTTACCGTTTGAGAAAATCTGCCCTTCTAAGTTCTAGATGATTAATAAACAGAGACTGACAACCATCAGGTTATGGGATTAGTAATTCAACAAAATATACTGAGCTCTTCCTCTGACTTTATAGTTGCGTACTAGTTAGCTGTTGTAGGGGCTGAAAAGGCGTGATACCTTTCTTCCTCATCATAAGCGTCAGAGCTGACACTTACATAACAAAAGATAGGTTAAGAGAAAAATCTAAGAAATTTATTTAATCAGAGTTTTACATGACATGGGAACCTTCAGAAATGGCTACCCAAAGACCTAGGGAGAACTGTTTTTAATGCTTAGATTCCCTGGAGTAATGTGGTTGGGCAAAAAGTTACTACCTAACAGTAATAGACAGGCGAGGGAACCCAACAAGCCCTTTCTGTGTGGCATTCCTTCCTCCCTGGTATAGGCAGGATCTCTTCCAGAAGGAGGGTCTTATGGTCTACCATCAAGCAAGGTAGGCCAGAGAAGTTCTTATGGCCAGCTCTTACATAGAAAGGTGGGGGAAGTTGAGGTTTTACGACTGGCTTTGGGGGGAGAGGGCTTCTAGTTTCTATGACTTATTTTGGGGAAGAGGAATTCTGGTTTCTATGGTTTGCCGTGGGGGAGAAAGCCTGGGAAACGGGAGGGCAGGAGAAGGTCAGAAGGACTGTGCCTGAGGCCCTCCAATCTCTTTTAGTTCAAAATAGTCAGCATGCCAAAGCGCCATATTGTGGAGTATTGTTTTTCTGAGCTCTAACACTGTTTTGGATGTATCTCCACTTATTTTATTTAACCTAAAAGGCTTTCGGCTCAGAGCACAAGTAGTACGCCATGAATGCGAAATTGTGTGGTTCAAATATTTTGTCTTTAGAAAATATTTTTCAAATCTGGCAACTTGTGATAAAGATGACTAGGACCCGATTCCTCCTTTCAACTGGCTTATAATTCATTTTGATTTTCCTCTCTAGAAACCGGGCACTTCATGAAAGAAACCCTTCCTGAAAACCAGGAATTCTGTTAAAAGACCTTTCTGCTAATATAGTTCAGTAGTTGATGTCAGCATTTGACGGGGAGCCTGGTTTAAAAGCTACCATGAGAATTCGGAAGCAACAAACTTGGCAGTCCTGGCGCTGTTGGTTACTAATTGAACGACCTTCACAAGTAACCTAGCCTCTGTGAACCTGTTTTCTCATTTTCAAACGCGGGAATAACAACTTTTCAACTCGGATGTTACGTAAGGAAACAGAGTAAACACAAAGGACTAGGTTGGCGTGGAGCCCGGTACTGCTGAAGGAAAGACAAACGAGTTTGGAGGGAGACTATGGAAAAGAAGGCAAAGAACCCCAGAGGCGATACCCTCGGTAGCATCGGCTTTTACACGATCTAAGCCCATCCTACGGCGGACACGCTCTCCTTTCACTGGAAGATGAGTGTTTGCTAACAGAAAGCTCCATTTCTCTAAACTTTGCTTCCCCGCCCAGTTTGCAAACGAGTCACGGTTTCCTCACTAGCGCAGTGGATTTGCCGAAAGCCGAGCAGGAGTCCCAGGCTGCGCGGGGCTGGGGTAATAACAGGAGCACACCTCGTGGCCTGGCAACCCAGGTAGCCACGACAGCGGAGAGACCGCCCCTCAAGAGCCAGTCCCCGCACCACCCCTTTTCGATACGTTTTCACGTCTTAGGGTGTGGTTTCCGGCAGCAGAGGCGTGTTTTCCGGTCGTCGCTTGGCTCGATTTTCTTCCGGGGCGGGACTTCCTGTCCATCTTTGATAGGCGGCAGGCTGCTGAGCTGGTAGGAGGACCAGACTGGGAGGGTCAGTGTGTCTGACCAGGGCTTATGTTCCTCAAAAGGGCGGCCAGGAGGATGCTTTTCCTCGGCCTTCCTTCTCGCTTTTTTTTTTTCCGCACGACGCCTCGGTTTGCGCTGATGCCCTGGGCTTTTGGCACTACCGCCCACCTGAGGCTCTTCCGCTTCCTCTTTCCCCAGGCTCCGCCCCCCAGCGTTCTGTGGCCATGACGACCGTTCCGCAGGACTCCCTGGTGTGGAAGCTTTCGGGGCTGCTGCGGGAGTCCGGTGAGTGGACTTCCGGTTGGGCTGGGCTTCGGGCGAGCTCGGGGTGGTGTCTTCTGGAGACACGCCCTAAGAGTCACGGAGTTACGACTGGTAGGGTCACCGGGTGTCAGAGTTCAATTTCTTTACTCTTACCGGGTTTGTTCCCCTAGTGCCGTTGCCTACAGTGTCCTTTGCCTGTGATAGCCTAAACTCTAGCCGTCCTTTGAGGCCAAACTCCGGTATCCCTCCCTCCTGACACTGCCCCCTCTGACACTCTCCGAAGGAGTGATGTTCATTTACCTGACTGAAAGCCCCTGAGGGAGGACCAGGGACTGATCTTGATCATAACCGTTGTTGTGTAGGAAGGCACTAAGTACAGCAGCTAGAAGCACGAGATTTGGAGTGGACCCATCTGGGTGGGAATGTCAACCCGCTTTCAAACTCGCCAGACTGCTGAGGCTCAAGTTTTCCTCACAGATTGGCATAACGATTGTACTTAACAGTTGTGGGGATTCGTTTTAATTCATGTGGAGAATTTAGTACAGTGTCTGCAGGTACAGTAAGTGCTCACAATTGGGAGCTATTGTTATTGTAATGACTTCCCTGGTGCTTGGCACTGCCTGGGCACAGTGGAGCCACAGTAGTTGTTGAGTACTTGGTTGGCATTAGTTGTGGTAGAAAAAGCCTTGGCTTTGAAATCAGATAGGAGAAGTAACTTCCTACCAACTATATGATCTCACTCAAGATTCTTTACTTTTTTGAACCTCAATTTTCATGTCTTTAAGATGGGGTTAATAGTGCTTCTTTTTGGGAGATTCTGAGAAGGTTTGAATGAGATATCAAAGTCATCCAGCAGTACTACAGTTAATGTTAGCTGCCCTCCATTACTCCACACTCCTACTGATATCTGTGGAAGCTCCCTTTATAGCAGTTTTCTTTTCTTTCTTTTCTTTTTTTGAGACAGAGTCTCACGTGTCACCCAGGCAGGAGTGCAGTGGTGCAATCTTGGCTCACTGCAATCCTGGGTTCAAGCGATTCTCCTACCTCAGCCTCCTGAGGAGCTGGGACTGCAGGTGTCTGCTGCCACGACCGGCTAATTTTTGTATTTTTTAGCAGAGCTGGGGCTTCACCACTTTGACCAGGCTGGTCTTGAACTCCTGACTTCAAGTGATTAACCCACCTTGGAACTCCCAAAGTGCTGGGATTAAAGTCATGAGCCTCGGTACCCGGCCAGTAGCAATTTTATTTTCTGGCTTGTATTAATAACTTTGCAAATGTCTTCTATCCTTCTCTGGGAGGAGACAACTAGGAGGCCCTTTGAGCGTGGGAAGAGTTCTTGAACCATGTCTGTATCTATCCTCAGTGTCTAGTACACACAGAATCCTTCATGTCAGGTTGTAGGAGTTGTTAATTTATTCAGTGATGAATGGTGCATGTGTGAATGTGTGACTACAAGGAGGTAGCAGGAAGAGGAGAGCTTGTGGTGGTAGAATAGTTTTGTATCTTCATTGTGGTGTGGCTGCAGGAATTTACAGATGGGGATAAATATATAATAAATATATGCTATAATAAACAGCATAGAACTATATATACACATTGTATCAACATCAGTGTCCTGATTGTTTTTTGTTTTTGAGACAGAGTCTAGCTCTGTCACCCAGGCTGGAGTGCAGTCACTTCATCTTGACTCTCCGCAACCTCTGCCGCCTTGGTTCAAGCTATTCTCCTGCCTCAGCCTCTTGAGTAACTGGGATTACAGTGTGTGTCACCATGCCCAGCTTAGAATAATTTTTTGTGTTTTTAATAGAGATGGGGTTAGAAACTTAGAATAATTTTTTGTATTTTTAGTGGAGATGGCGTTTCACCATGTTGGCCAGGTTAGTCTTGAACTCCTGACCTTAAGTGATTAACCTGCCTTGGCCTCCCAAAGTTCTGGGATTGTAGGGCCTGAGCCACAGTGCCCAGCTCAGTGTCCTGAATTTGATATTGTACTATAGCTATGTAAAAGTAACCATTAGGGAAAACTGGGTAAAGGATATAAGGGACCTTTCTGTGCTATTTCTGCAACATCTCTTGAATCTATACTTATGATATTTTTTAAGCCATAGAAACATTCCTCCATGCCTAGCTTGTAGCTGCAGTTTTTTAGGTGCAGTGATGAATGCCAGAGTGATCAAAAGATACCCTCAAGAATGAAAGTGTCGTTAGAGAGACCACTTTTGACAGCAATAACAATGTGTTAGTGCTGTAATGAATAGTTATTCTTTCTATGACATACTTTGTAGTATCGTTTGAAAGTTTCTACAAATGTTTATATTACTTTTGCAATCAGAAAAAGAAATAAAAATAAAGCGTCTAATTAACTTTTATATAATAACAAGTGACTGCAATGTGAAAATTCAGCAGTATTGCTTCCTGAGATGACTTCCTGGAGGAGGCTGGTCTCAAGCCGGGCGGTGGAAGCGGGTGTCTCAGAACATGAGAGAGCTGTGAATCAAGCTGGCTGTATTTCCAGCACTGTCAGTAGATCTGGCTCTTTTGAGCAGAAGGTGAAAGAAAATTTGGAAGAGTTGGTTGGAGTTGTGTAGCCAAATAGTGTCATCAGGCTGAATGAAGTGTTAGGACTTTTTTTTTTTTTTTTTGAAGATGAGGGGAGCCATTGAATGCTTTTGAGTTGGGAGGAGATAGAAAATTTGATCCTGCAATAGGATATCTACAGTAGGGATTAGAGTGGGTATATTTTGGCACAACAGAGTCTTAGAATAAAAGGAAAAATCTTTTCACTGTCTTCCCTCCTGTCTGCCCCTCTCTCTGCAGGGGATGTGGTCCTGTCTGGCTGTAGCACCCTGAGCCTGCTAACTCCCACACTGCAACAGCTGAACCATGTATTTGAGCTGCACCTGGGGCCCTGGGGCCCTAGCCAGACAGGCTTTGTGGCTCTGCCCTCCCATCCTGCTGACTCCCCTGCCATCCTTCAGCTTCAGTTTCTCTTCGATGTGCTGCAGAAAACACTTTCACTCAAGGTTCTGGGTGTGGGGAAAGGGCAGGATGTGCAAGGAGCCCAAGAGAATGATGAAAGCTGGGGGTAGGGGAGGCGTGCAGGGTAGGGGAGGCGTGCAGGGTAGGGGAGGGGTGCAGAAATCTGCGGTTCCAGGATCCACAGGGTGTCAGAGGTACCAGTGGTTCTGCTAAGGAAGGAATGTCGAGGACAGGGAGATCTGCTGTGCCTCAGTAAATGGAGTGTTTTTTTTTTTTTTCAGCTGGTCCATGTCCCTGGTCCTGGCCCCCCAGGGCCCATCAAGATTTTCCCCTTCAAATCCCTTCGGCACCTGGAGGTATGGGGACACTGGGGGATGTTGGTGCACAGCACCCAACTTGAGGCAGCCACTTGGGGATAGGAAGGAGAAGGGTGTCTTTGGTGGGGAGGCCAGGCCGGAGTATACCCATTGCTCTGCAGTAATGTGACATCCACCCTCTTTCGATTTACTGCTTCCCTAAACCATAGCTGGGCTTTGTGGTCTTCTCCCTCCTCCCAACTAGGGGAAATGGGGATGAGGTCTTTATCTTCTGTGGGGTTCTGCCTTCCTCCCTCCCCTTTCCTTGTCCCAGCTCCGAGGTGTTCCCCTCCACTGTCTGCATGGCCTCCGAGGCATCTATTCCCAACTGGAGACCCTGATTTGTAGCAAGAGCCTCCAGGCATTAGAGGTAAGGAGGGTGAGGGGTGAGCTTATACGCCTTGTACTGAGAGTGACAGAGGACCAAGCTCTGGTCTTCTCCCCTCTCTGAAGCTCTCCCTGTATCCCGCTTCCATCTTGACAATGTTTTCACTCCCTCTCTGTGTTCCTGCAGTCATACCTACCATCTTATATTTCATATTCTACTGTCTGCCTTCCCACTCGCCCCAAAGTGAGTTCTTGGGTCAGGGACCTGGGCTTTAAGCCTGTATCTTCAGATGGAGTTCAGTGTATAAAAAATGAATGAGTGACTGGGTGGTAGAGCTTGGCCTTGGCATGGGGAGGCAGGGGAGGGTGGGGTGATGAAGCACCTGTCCGCCCGCTCAGGAGCTCCTCTCAGCCTGCGGCGGCGACTTCTGCTCTGCCCTCCCTTGGCTGGCTCTGCTTTCTGCCGACTTCAGCTACAATGCACTGACCTCCTTAGACAGCTCACTGGTGAGTGCGTCAGAGGGAAGAGGGTTTCGAGGAAGGGCAAGGCCAGGCCTTTGGGGAGGAGGGCCAGGTGGTTGGCCAGATAGTATTGTAGTGAACATTGATTTCTCTGCCTCCTCCCCATCTCTCTCAGCGCCTCTTGTCAGCTCTGCGTTTCTTGAACCTAAGCCACAATCAAGTCCAGGACTGCCAGGGATTCCTGATGGTGAGTGTGGGCATTCTGGCAGCTGGCACACCATGGGTCTTTGATTGCTCTGCTCTCACTCCCTCTCCATGACTGGCTTTTACTCCCACCTTGCTCTTGCCATGAAGGTGGAGCTGCATTCTGGGAGACAGCACTGCTTAGGCTCTAGCATCAGACAAACCAGAGTTCAAATCTCAACTTCTGGTATGTGTGCGACTTGGAGCAAGTTAGTTACTTCTTGGTTTCTTTACCTGTAAAGCAGAAATCACAAGAGTGTTCCTGTTTTTTGGTTTTTTTTTTTTTTTTTTTTTTTTTTTTTTTTTTTTTTTTTTTTTTTTTTTTCTTTTTTTTGTTTTTTTTTTTTTTTTTTTTTTTTTTGAGATGGAGTCTCGCTCTGTTGCCCAGGCTGGAGTGCAATGGCACAATCTTGGCTCACTGCAACATCTGCCTCCTGGGTTCTAGCAATTCTCCTGCCTCAGCCTCCCAAGTATCTGGGATTACAGGCATGGGATTACAGGCACACCCCACCATGCCTGGCTAATTTCTGTATTTTTAGTAGAGATGGGGTTTCACCATTTGCTAGGCTGGTCTCGAACTCCTGACCTCAAGTGATCTACCTGCCTTGGCCTCCCAAAGTGCTGGGATTACAGACATGAGCCACCGCGCCTGACCGAGTACCTGCTTTTATAGTATTAAAATGATTGTGAAGAAGTACTCAGTGTTACTTAATCTAGTGCCTAGCTCAGAAACTGATAGCTTTTGTGATGATGACGAAGAACCTTTCTTCTGTGTCCTCCCATCCACCTGTCAGAGATAAAGTGGAACTAGTTAAAGTGGTAAGGACAGATTTGAGTCAGTGATAAACTATTGCAATAGGGGAGAGGGTGCACCGTGAACTGAACACCGCTTTGATCTGTGCAGAGGTGACTGTGCATTTACAAGGAGAGCGAGGGAATAGGAAGGGGAACTGTGAGGGCTTGAGCAGAGTAAAGGAAGTGGAAATGTACAAAAAGCGGAAGTGGAAGCTAGTCCACATGAAGCCCTTCTGGGTTTGAGTAGCTCCAGGCATGCAGGCTGTCCAGACGTTATCTTTGAAGTTTGTATCACCTAGTCCAACTTCAGCTCACAGGGCTTTTTCTAAGATTCTGGGGGAAAGGGCAGCTATAAGTGAGCTAAAATTCCAACAAGGATCTGGGGACTCAGGCTTTAGTTCTCAGTGATGCGAAGTTGGGAGGGAGAAAATTGGAAATGTTAGTTTAGAAAACTGTAACCTAATAATGAAGAAAACTAGAAGAATTGAGAATTTGGTAAGGGCTGATGTGTAAGACAGCAGGACCCAGTCCAATTTACAGGTAGATAATAAAACTTCAAATCAAATGAACAGGACTAGAATCTGGTAACCCATAGGGTGTATTAGTAGTTTTCATTAAGAGATATATTTTTCTCTAAGGTGAATCATTCCCTTTTTGATTAAAGACAGTGGAAGTAGGATTATTCTTGTTTACAAAATAAGTCTGAACCTGTTAGATTGGTCTGCCTGTTTACATAAGTGTAGTAAGAATGGTAATTGACCGCAGAGGCCTTTTTTAAGTTTGCTTTCCTGTAACTTTTTTTTTTTTTTTAATTTTTTTAAGTTTATTTGATATATTTGACGATCAGCGATTAGTTCTCCTGGAACTTTTTATAAGGACTCTCAGACTGGACTTTTAAAACCCTCTTGAGGCTAGGAAGCCAAGAACTTGTCATCAGACTTCACGTAGAGTACCTATAGATGTGTGAATTCCTCTCTTCTTGATGTCTCCAAAATAACCTGAGGTTCCTGGGGCTGTCAGGAACTAGCCTTTGCCACTCATTTGTAAGGCTGGGAACCCTATAAGCCAAGTAGCAGGCTGGTTTTTCCAAGAAGGCTTTGTAAGCATTGGCTCCATATAGTCACTTTAGTTCCTTAAAACTGTCTGTCCATATCTGATTGTATGCAGTATTTTAAAACGTAACATTCCAGTCATATTTTAAAAGTTCAGTCAAAGCCTAGTTATACAACCAATTTTCCCAATTGTGTCCTGTTACAAGGAGGGCAGACTCTATTGAACCTATGAAAATAACCATATTGCTATGTAAATAAGAATGCTCATGGGAGTTCCCGAATTCTGGAGGGATCAGGCATGGAGAAAAGATAAATGCTTCATATACATATACATGTATCTATATATATATGTGTATACATATATACATGTGTCTATATATACGTATATTTATGTATATGCATATATATATATATTTTATAAAAGTATAATTTACTCAACTGTTTTGTGCTATAGATCACATAACAGAAAAGGTAAAGAGGTTCCTTATATCCAAAAAATAGAACATTAAAGAACCGGCCAGGCACAGTGGCTCACATCTGTAATCCCAGCACTTTGGGAGGCTGAGGCGGGCAGATCACGAGGCCAGGAGTTCAAGATCAGCCTGGGCAACATGGTGAAACCCTGTCTCTACTAAAAATACAAAAATCAGCTGGGCGTGGTGGTGTGCGCCTGTAATCCCAGCTACTGGGGAGGCTGAGGCAGGAGAATCGCTTGAACTCAGGAGGCAGAGGTTGCAGTGAGCCGAGATCATGACACTGCACTCCAGCCTGAGTGACAGAGCAAGAGTCTGTCTCAAAAAAAAAAAAAAAAAAGTGAAAAACCAAAACAGAATCAACAGTATTTTAAACAAAGCCATTAAAACTATAATCATCCTTCATCAGTTCATTCAGTCTTATGCAGTCAGTTCTCATTGTGCTTGATCTTGGGTTAGCAGTGTTATGAATCCATCAGCTTTTTCATTGGAGTTTTGGAAATTCTGACTCGGTCCAGTGGTATGATCTCAAAGTTGTTTAAGCAGTGCCACCAGAAGCCTTTGCCCTACAGGACCTAGCATGGTCCTTTTCTATGGGTCTCTGTGACAGTCCCTTTTTGTTCAAAGTAAGTACTCTGACCTGTAGCTGATTGCAATAACTTTTAGGAAGCAGGGTAAAGCAGTAACTCTGTGGATGATGAAAGAGTTAAATGGTCTGTTTCCATGAGCTTTTTCTTTTTTTATTTTTTCCCCTCGGTTGCTTTTGGAGGTCTCTGAGTCCCTTGAGAGCCCCCAGTGGGGGCAGAGGACCTAAAGTTTGAGTGACTGTAGGGAGTTGAGGGGCTGGAGTATGAAGGGAAAGGTCTGGCAGGGTGACTAGGGGTGGAGAAGGAGAGGCTTGAAGGGGAACCTGTCATGGGTCCGGGGAGCTGAAGGAAAGAGGAAAGGTCGTAGGAGGAGGAAAGGGGAGCAGAGGTGATGTGGAGGGGGGTGTCTTAGAGGAGCCAGCTTGGAGAGATCTTAAGTTTCCCAAAGAAGCCATTGAAGTTCCAGATTATCCTTAGTAAAGTCTTGCCAACAGGAAATGAAATGGACAGAGCTAGGGCCATAGTGGTAACATATACCGTATAGTCAGCAGAGTTTGAGAAGAGGGTTTCAGTTGACTGCAAAGTCCATGGGAGGGGCAGGATCAAGGAGGGAAAACAGAGAGGACTCAAAACACAGCCAGGAAGAACTTCCAGCTCAGGAGTCAGGAAGGGAATTTCCGCATGAAACAGAGTGAGGAAGAAGGAATTCCAGCTTAGGAGGTGCCTTTCACACGAAAGTTGGGACTCTAACCAAGCTTCTCGAGTGTCCTTGGAATCAGGAGACTCAAAAGCTTCCTCATTGTGCTTCAGTGGATGTTTTGTCGCAAGCACTGGGCTGGGAGTCAGACTCGCCAGCAGATCCCATTGATCAGTCAGGAGTGAAGGCAAAGGCGTCAAAAGTATGCAGCTGGGGTCCCAAGTGAGGGGGCTGGGAGGATCTGATGATGAATCTGACCCAATTTGAGTCATGGCACCAGGTGGCTGTCATGGATAAAGCTAGACACTAGATTTTAAATAGTAATAAACAATTGCAGTAGTGAAGAGGGTTGAGTGTAGTTTATTTTTGTGCAGGGGTGACTGGGCATTTTATTTTATTTTATTTTTGAGACAGAATCTCACTCTGTCACCCAGGCTGGAGTACAGTGGCGCCATCTCAGCTTACTGCAACCTCTGTCTCCCAGCTTCAAATGATTCTTGTGCCTCATTCTCCCGAGTAGCTGGGATTACAAGTGTGTGCCACCACGCCCAGCTAATTTTTGTATTTTTAGTAGAGTCGGGGTTTCACCATATTGGTCAGGCTGGTCTTGAACTCCTGGCCTCAAGTGATCCAGCCTCCTCAGCCTCTCAGAGTGCTGGGATTACAGGCATGAGCCACTGTGCTGACTGGGCATTTTAAAAGGAGAGCGGGGAGAGTGGGTAGGGGGAATGATAGGACCTTGAGCAGAGCTGGGGAAGTGGAAATCAGGTTGGTCCATGTGAAACCCATCTGGGTTTGCTAACTAACTGGCACTTATCAAAATAAGCCTTCTACCCTTTCACGGAGACTGGGAGACGGCCCCTATCTTCAGGTGTTGGCTGGAACAAATGGGAGATTCTTTTGGCAGCTTTGACTTTTCCCAGGCAGGAACTTAAGGGGGCTGGAGGAGCTGCCATGCCCGGAATGTGGCCTTGAACTGTTAGGAACGCTGCTGGTGTTGTTCAAGTCTTTTAACGTGGGGTAGGGGTGGATGAAATCATTTGTACCGGGCCTGTGCAGTTTTATGTAGGCCAAGGTTGAGGCCTAGTCCAGAAGAGTTCTCAGGAGACCCTAATTAGAGTTTGGTCAAGGAGAGAATTGTTTTCTTTCCCTCGCCCCCTCCAGGATTTGTGTGAGCTCCACCATCTGGACATCTCCTATAATCGCTTGCATTTGGTGCCAAGAATGGGACCCTCGGGGGCTGCTCTGGGGGTCCTGATACTGCGAGGCAATGAGCTCCAGAACCTGCATGGTGCGTGGGGGTGTGTGATGAGGCAAGCATGGAGGGGAAAGCGGGGAGTGAGGCTCTGGCGGGCCTGGGGGCCACGTGGCTCTAGAGCCTTGAGAGGGCTTATGGGGAGGGCAGGGGTGCTCTGGCTGGTCTTTCTGCTGCACCCTCCACAGTGCATGCACCACACTTACTCTCTCGCACTCATCTGCATGCCCGTCCTCTCTTGCCTCCACCCCAGGCCTGGAGCAGCTGAGGAATCTCCGGCACCTGGATTTGGCATACAATCTGCTGGAAGGACACCGGGAGCTGTCGCCACTGTGGCTGCTGGCTGAGCTTCGCAAGGTGAGACGGGAGGGTATCAGGGGCCTGGGAGCCACCCTTGCACCCTCCCCATCATGCTGATTTGGTCAGTGCCATCTTCACACAGGGAGGGCCCTGGGCCCTCCTCATTCTCCCCTTCCTGCCCCTCAGCTCTACCTAGAGGGGAACCCTTTGTGGTTCCACCCTGCACACCGAGCGGCCACTGCCCAGTACTTGTCACCACGAGCTAGGGTTGCTGCTACCGGCGTGAGTGATCATCCTATATCCACTCTGCTTCCCCTTTCCTGCCCAGACCTCCCCCACCTTGTACCCCTTGCTATCCCTGGGTGGGGGGCCGAGGACCTGGGCCCTGCTTACTGTGTTGTTAATACCTGGAACTCAGCAGCACGGGCCCCACCCCTTTTTGTCTTTGCTCAGTTCCTTCTCGATGGCAAGGTCTTGTCGCTGACAGATTTTCAGGTCAGTGTGATCAGGGGCAAGGACTGATGGGGGAAGACATGAAGGGAGAGCGCTGGGGAGGGAACAGAGGGCTGGCTGGTGACAGGGTCTTCCTGGTCAGTGGAAAGTAGGGTCTTGCCTTTTGGCTGGCTTGGGCAAGGCAGAGGTGCTCCTGGGCTCCAACCTCGACCTTCTGTCGTCACATGCCAGACTCACACATCCTTGGGGCTCAGCCCCATGGGCCCACCTTTGCTCTGGCCAGTGGGGAGTACTCCTGAAACCTCAGGCGGCCCTGATCTGAGTGACAGCCTCTCCTCTGGGGGTGTTGTGGTCCAGCCCCCACTTCATAAGGTTAAGGTAAGCCGTGTCCTCTGCTGCCTCATGCCTGGGGTGGGGTGTCTCTGCAGACTCCGGGCTGCAGTGGGCAGGAATGGTAGGAACTGTGCTTGCATGTGGTTGGGGTTTCTTTGGTAGGTTGGATGGTCGGCCGTGGATGGCAGGGCTGGAGGCTTGGCTTTCACAGAACTTCTTCCCTCCACCAACCTCAGAGCCGAGTCCGTGTGAGGCGGGCGAGCATCTCTGAACCCAGTGATACAGACCCGGAGCCCCGAACTCTGAACCCCTCTCCAGCTGGTAAGTCAGCCCCACCCCACTAACCTCTCTCATCCCCATCCAGCTCACTCTAATCTTTAAGTTACGGTAAAGGTCTGGTAGAAGAAATATTATTTTTTGTCGGGGTGGAGTATTATAGAGGGCTTCTTAGTCTTTTACTTTAGGGAAAGGAGAAGACACTGCTTCTGGAGGCATTTTGAAAAGTGTTTCAAGGAACATTAATTTTGCGGGGTGTCAAGAGATCGTGTGGGCCAGGCACAATGGCTTACACTTGTAATCCCAGCACTTTGGGAGGCTAAGGTGGGAGGATTGTTTGAGCCCAGGAGTTTGAGACCAGCCTGGGAAACATAGACACCCATTTCTACAAAAAAATGTTTAAAATTAGCCTGACATGGCAGTGCGCGCCTGTAGTCCTAGCTACTTGGGAGGCTGAGGTGGGAGGATCGCTTGAGCCTGATAGTACCAGGTTACAGTGAGCTATGGTTGTGCCACTGCGCTCTAACCTGGTGACAGAATAAGACCCTGTCTCAAAAAAATAAAAAATGAAAAACCCCAAACCAAAAGAAAGTATATATGTATACATATAAAATAATGGGATTGTGGCCAGAGAAGTTTGGGAAATTCGAGGGTGAAGAGAAATAGGTGTGTTAGCTGCAGGCCACCTCGGGACCTTCAATATGCTGCCACGCATGGTGAGTCCCCAGAAGTAGCAGGGGATGTGCAGCTTGGATTGCCTGTGACCACAGTGTTCATAGGACACACTTCAGTACATTCCGTGGAGGGGACCCCTCTACCCTCCCTTGCCCCATCTCCATCCACATTGCTTTCTTATCACTGAAAAGCACCATTGAAGCATTTGGGGCCATCTGGGGTGCATGGGAGGCGGGCTTGCTCAGCTCTGCGATCCTCTCCTGCCCAGGATGGTTTGTGCAGCAGCACCGGGAGCTGGAGCTCATGAGCAGCTTCCGGGAACGGTTTGGCCGCGACTGGCTACAGTACAGGAGCCACCTGGAGGCCTCCGGAAACCCTCTGCCGGCTGCCCCCACCACTCCTGCCCCCAGTGTACCTCCAGCTGGCTCCCAGGGCCCAGACATGGCACCCAGACCTTCACCCCCGGAGGAGGATGCCAGAGGCCTCTGGGAGTCACCACAGAAAATTTCAGAGGAGGTCAGGGTGGAGCCACAGGAGAAGGAAGAGGAGGAAGAGGAGCAGATGGTGCAACAGGGAGAGGAGGAGGCAGGAGAGAAGGAGCAGGAGGAGGAGGAGGAGCAGGACCAGAAGGAAGTGGAAGGTGAGCACTCTTGGGTGTGCTGGGGCCAGGGGCTGGTGGGATGTGTGGCGGTGATGGGGCCTGGTGGGTAGAAGGCCACTCGTTGGGATGTGTGGGGGTGGTGGGACCTGGTGGGTGGAGGGCCACTCGTTGGGACGTGTAGGGGTGGTGGGGCCTGGTGGGAAGAAGACCACTGGTTGGGATGTGTGGGGGTGGCAGGGCCTGGTGGGTGGAAGGCCACTGGTTGGGATGTGTGGGGGTCGCGGGGCCTGGTGGGAGGAAGGCCACTCATTGGGATGTGTGAGGGTGGAGGGGCCTGGTGGGTGGAGGGCCACTCCAGGGGAGGGCAGCTTCTGGGTACTTACCTCCCTGCAGAGCTTCTCTCTCGGTCTCTCCACAGCGGAGCTCTGTCGCCCCATGTTGGTGTGTCCCCTGGTGGGGCCTGAGGGTGTGTGTGGCAGGGAATGCTTTCTCAGGGTCACTTCTGCCCACCTGTTTGAGGTGGAACTCCAAGCAGCTCTAACCCTGGAACGACTGGAGCTCCAGAGTCTAGAGGCAGCTGAGATAGAGTCGGAGGCCCAGGTTCAGAGACTGCCCAGGCCCAAGGTGAGTGGGGCAGTGGGGGCTCTGGAGGAGCCAGCTACGAAGAGCCGGGGCTGTTGTGTGCCCGGCACTGGGCTGGGCATTTATCACAGTCTCTCCTTGGCACTAGGAGCCGAGGCGGGAGCGTGAGAGGTTGCAGGTGCTCAGGAGGCTGGGCTGAGGAGCAGGGATTCTGTGCTGGAGCTTGCACGTTAGCGCAGGCCTGTGTCAGGCTCCAGAGCTACTGCTTCTCTTCCATGCTCTCAGTATCCCCTCATCCCTCTGGCCGCCGCCACTGCTGTCTTTTACTCAGTCCTGCTTCCTCCTGCAGGGCTCAGATCTGCTCCCTGGAGCCCCCATCCTCAGTCTTCGCTTCTCCTACATCTGCCCTGACCGGCGGCTGCGTCGCTATGTGGTGCTGGAGCCTGATGCCCACGCAGCCGTCCAGGTGATGGGGCCTAGAGTGGGGGCCCAGGAGGCTGTGGGGGTTGAGAGAGCCAGAGGGGAGTGGCAGTAGGCCTGAGGGCCAGGGGCCTGTGAGAGATGTCTGTCTGGGGTCTGCCTGCTCACAGCTGCCTCCCATTCACCCGCTGTCAGGAGCTGCTTGCCGTGTTGACCCCAGTCACCAACATGGCTCGGCATCAGCTTGGGGAGGCCAGGAACCTCCTGCCGGGTAGATTTCAGTGTCTACGCTGTGGCCATGAGTTCAAGCCAGAGGAGCCCAAGCTGGGATTGGACAGTGAGGAAGGCTGGAGGCCTCTGTTCCAAAAGACAGGTACAAGTCCTGCTTTTGACCTCTCTGCCCACCGCCTCCCCTGTTGCAGGGAAGGTGTGGAGTGGGAGCCCCAGGGAGAAGGGATGAGAGAGAATGGAGACCAGTTGTTCTGCTGGAAGAAAAATAAAACCGCTTGCCTGCTGCATTTTCAAAAAGGAAAACAGAAAAAAGAAGAAACTATATCCTGATTTTTTTTTTTTTTTTTACTCCAGAAGTCAGGAAATGCAATCTCTGTAACTGTTCTTAAACATACTCATCATTTTTTCATAACCTGAAGGCTTGTTGTGTTGGGGTTTTTTGACTGATATTTCAGACACTACAGAAACCTAATGGGCCCTCACTGCAGTGTCAGATTGTGCTGCTGCCCCTGCCCACAAGTGTAGCTGTTGAGTGGGATGCTCAGGGATTGGCTTGCTTTGTCCTTCCTGGCTGACCTTGGAAGCTACATAATGTCTTGTGGCATTTCTTCATGCGCTAATCCTGAAAATGAGAATTGTTTCCATTGTAGACTGGTCAAAAAGCACTATCTTGCAAGAAGACATTGAAGAAGAAAGAAATATTCTTGGTATCAGCTATGTGGAAATGCCAGAATTTTATTAGCCAGTTTTCTCTTCTTGGCGGCAGCTGGAGCAGGAGTTTACATTTTATTCAGAAAATGGAGCCCTCCCCACTGTGACCTGGCCAGGGCACTGTGGCCTTAGCCCCTCTTGGACCCTGGCTGGACACCGTGAGGAGCTGTGGCCACTGGAATCTCTTCCATGGTGGCATTATTAATGAACATTAGTAACATTATGTAATGAACATTACTGTGGGTTCCATTCTCCTTTCATTTACCTCATCTGAACAAAAGGGAATGAACTCACCCCATGGTGCTATTATGCTGCTTAAATGTGACAGTAAGGCACCAAGCGTCGGGCCTGGCAGAAAACCAAGGGCCTCTGTAAATGGTAGCTGCTGTCATTGCCCCCAGTTATATGGTCCTGGGCAGCGTGTGTAAATTATGTAATCTTTCTTTTCCTCTTTGCAAAATGGGATAGGAGAGTTTCTCTGGTGCTGAAATGTGGTCATACTGGCATAGGAGCTAGCACACGCCCAACACAGGGTAGCTGCTCAGAGAGCTGCTTCTCTCATTGCTGATCCATGTCCTGATTCCTTCCCGGCTTCCTGACACTACGGATGAGTACAAGATAGACCCTGTTGTCATCCCTGTTTTACAGACGAGTGACCAGGCTCACAGAGCTTAGGTGACTTGCCCATGATTACAGAGCCATTAATTGATGGAGCCTGGAATTGGACCCAAATATGGCAACAGAGTTCTCTCTGCCTTTCCAGACCTGTTGATTTTGTTCTTTCAGATGTTGCTAGGAGAGCTCTGAAGTACTTGGTCAGCCCAAGTCTGTAGGAGGACATAAGAGCAGGGCCTAGTTGTGTTTGGCCCAGTCTGAGAGGGCCTAGTGTCAGAAGGTGGAGTGCACTCTGAGGAGGCTGTGGGCTGTGGTTTGCTCATCCCTCTCTGGGATGAGGAGTGATCAGTCAGCAGCTGAGCCGGGAGAGGGAGCTGGTGGGCTGGCGCACTGTGGTTGTGTATGAAGCTGAAGACTTGGGCTCAGCGGAGACCAGAGAGTGGGCAAGGAGCGCCGTGAGTGTGGTGGGAGTTGTGGCACGGTGTGGGGGACGCTCACGGGTACTGTGTCCATCCTCCCTCCAGAAGCTCCTGCTGTATGTCCTAACTGTGGTAGTGACCATGTGGTTCTCCTGGTCGTGTCTGGGGGAACCCCCAAAAGGGAGCAGAAACAGGGAGAGCAGTCTCTGGCTCCCTCTCCATCTGCCAACTCTGTCTTCGACCCTCCTGGCCATGGTGACCACCACGACAGGGCCAAGAGCAGCCCACCTCAGGCACCGAGCACCCGTGACCGCAGTAGTTGGAGCCTCAGTCCCCGTGAGTATAGGCAAAACAAGACGTAAGTGGGGTTGGGGGAGGGAAGGGGCACTGATGGGGAAGTGGAGATGGAGCCCAGGGGCTGGCTGATGCCCCCCCCCCATTGCCCTCAGCCCCTGAGCTCTGTGGCCTCCGCTCTGTGGACCACCGACTGCGGCTCTTCCTGGACGTTGAGGTGTTCAGCGATGCCCAGGAGGAGTTCCAGTGCTGCTTCAAGGTCTGTGCTCCCTGGCATTGCCCGCCCCATCCCCCTAGCTGGCCAGGTTTTCATCACAGCCAACTGAGTTAGATCAGGCACTCTGGAGTCACCTGACCTGCTTCTGGTTTCAGCCCCAGCAGCTTCTTGCTGTGTGGCTGTGGATCCATTGCTTGGTGTTGGAGTCCCAGTTGTTGCCCGTCTTCGAAGGAGATAATGATGCTTCCCTTACACAGTGGCATGCGTCAGAGTTCATGGTGAAGCTGTCCGGCCCAGCACCTGGTGCTCATCAGCGGGGCCTCCTAGCTTTATTATAAACAGATGGTGTTGCTAGGCCTTTGTTGAGCACCTGTTGTGCTAGACATTGAGGAGCTACAGATCACTCTTGCCCTTGATCTTGCAGTCTGTAGTGAGAAATTGACGATGATTGTGAAATGTGCAGGTGCTGTTATCAGGCTGCAGCCCTAGAAGGGGTGTCTAGTGCAGCTTGAGCGGGTCAGGGAGCTTTCCTGGGAGGTGATGTCTAAGCTAAGTCTTGAAGGATAAATTAGGGAGTAGGGAGGAAAATAATATTTTAGGTGAAGGAAGCAGCAAACGCATGGAGGCCCAAGAGTGTCGCCGGAGGGGAGAACTGCCCAGGATGAGGGGACAGGGCACCTAGACGTGCAGGGCAGGGGCAGGGGTCCCAAGAGGACTCTGGGAGGCTGGCAGGGGCCAAGTCAGGAGTTGTTGCCTCCTGTGTCTGCCAGGAAGTTTGGACTTGGTCATGAGGGCCACTGGGAACCACTGAAGGATTTGAAATGGGGCAGTGACGGTCAGTTTTGTGCCTTAGAACAGTGAGTCTGGCGGACGGGGCGAGGCGACAGGCAGGAAAGCCAGCTGCTGAGGCTCTGAGGGGGCAGGGGCCAAAAGACAGAGCGGTGGTGGATGGAGAGGCTGTCAAGTGCCAGGGAAGCTGCACAGACGGGTGCGTGGGTGGTGGGAGGGTCTGGCCGAGGGTGCTGGCACCAGGAACTCAGCTTTCAGTATGGCCCCGCCTCCCCAGGCCTCTCATCAGGTTCCTCACCAACTTCTTCTTCCCCAGGTGCCAGTGGCGTTGGCAGGCCACACCAGGGAGTTCCTGTGCCTTGTGGTTGTGTCTGACCACAGGTTGTACCTGTTGAAGGTGACTGCGGAGATGCGGTGAGTGAGCTGGGAGGTGGGGTGAGTGAGGGGGGAGGTGGGGT